TTTTCACCCGCAGTGACCACTTTGAGTCATCAAAAAGGACATCAAATATTTGAACGGCGAACCATGCTTTTGTACCACAATTTGTATGCAACTTATGAACATTATACTTGAAATTCGGCATTTAGATTGCAGGTTTGAAGCCAACACATATGTATCACATGAATGCAGTGCTGCGCGCTGTTTTCTCAATTCAATACTGTACAAGACTGAATGTTATCTTACACTCCTAATTTCGCTCGTTTCACAGCAAACTCGTCCGAATTGTGCCAGTCGGAGTCACATCTACCCGGACACAACCACACGTTGCACTGCTCGCATTTCATGTTGACCTTTGTGCCACTCTTACCGCTGTTTGCGTAGCACACCCTACACCTATTCGACTTTCCCTTCATCTTTGTCAAGAAGTGGACTCGACTCGACCCCTCCGTTCCCGAACCCGATCGTGCCCCCCGTTTTGCCCTTGCCAAAGGGTTATTATCAAGGGTGTTTTCGACCAACTGCTGTTGCAACGCCACGTAGAAATCGTACCTCGAAACCTCTGGCTTCGTGGTACAGCACGTATGCGTTGTGCATGGCTCCGTCTAGCAGCCCGAGGATGACCCGGACCCACCACTTCCTAGACACGATCTCCATCTCAATACTGTAACCCAACCCTAGACACGACTTATCGAACTGATCTACTGCATCCTTATACTTGTTGTACTCAAAAGCAATCTCTGGGCACACAATCGGCTCACTCACTGAGCCCGCTCGCCGCGTCGTCTCTCCCATGCTCAGCCCGTGGCACGTCGACAGAAAGTGCACCGGCTGCCGATCCTGCCAAACGGCAGCCAACATCCCGTCCTCCCAGCAATAGGCAGCCTTCACTGCCCCCCGTTCAGCATTCTTCTCTAAAGACAACACCTCTTTCTTAGGATACATCTTCCTACTCGGCTGACACGTACCAGTGGCCAAAAGTCCTACGGATTTCAACGACCTAAGAGGCAACGGACCTGTGAAACCTCTATCCAAAATGACCACGTGTCCTTTATCCTTGGGCACGTGCTGCCCTAACAACTTCACTACGTAATCATGCAGACCCTCTCCAGCAACCTTTAGCTTATCGTACACCCACTGAAAATAACAATAGAATGTTTCTGCATCTACGACTGTGAACACTTCTGCTCCAAACTTGTGGGGCTTCTTTGGATTATATATCCTGATTGCACAGGCCCTGTTTCTCAATGGAATCATTCTCTCGTCAAAAGTAACGTATTGTCCTGGGTTATAATAAGCTTTGAATGTTTCCTCTAAGGTTTTTAGCAACGGCAATAGATGAAACAGCCTGTGCGCCCTACTCTTCTTATCGGGAGGCCTCTGTGCATTATCATTAGTATGAAAGTATCTCTTTATCTGCTCGAATCTATACAGTGGCATAAACCTCCCAAAATCTGGATACTTTATTGCCCCGTACACCCCAGTCTCCCAATACCTCGCAAGACTTGGCAAGGGATGCAGAGCCATAGCGAACGCAAGACCAAACCAGCGCAGGATCTCCTGGACAATCACCGGAGTCCACGGCCGACCCTGACCTTCAGGCAGCGCCGCCGCCGCCCTGCTGTCGGCGGCATACTTGTTGGTTTGGATCACCACGTCCTCCCACCAGTGCATGGGCACGAGCAGGAAGAAGACTTGCAGGGGTGTGAACCCGGGCTCACCCCCTTCACCCTGCGCTGGGGCCCTGCAAATGCACAGATCAAAGCTCAGCGTTCTGTGTGTATGTCGAAAGGTATGTCTTGTGTATGATAACATGGCAGGGCTGCCATGTTGTCGAACCTAATATGCGCTGCAGAATACATCAGCTTTGATAGCATGGCAGCTCAAAAAGATATCTCGGATCTGTTGAAAAGACATCCTCGCTGAACCGCACATCAACCTCAGAAGCATGATATCATACTGAAGCCTATCTCCCGATCAGTTTGAAGCGTACAATCCTTGCAGCAACCTAAAGCTTTCTGTGCATGCCAGCTTGAAAGAAACCTTTTGGTTTACTCAAATCAAAGTAAGACATTCTTGCAGCGCCCAACAACTTTGCCGCGCACGCAGCTTGAAGGGAACGAGCTGATTGACAGACTGTAACAGTGTCGCTGCAGCGCCCAACAAGTTGCCACGCATGGCAACTTCAAAGAAACCCTCTTGTTCAGTGAATGCTTTTCGTCGCTGTCGCACCCAAAGGGTTTGCCATCCATGGCCTGTTGCAAGAGAAACCCTTTGATCAATCAGGGTTACATTTAGGCAACATGCAAACAAGAGGATGCGAAAACATTGGTGAGCGCACCTGTGAACTCTGGGGGCTGCAGATCCTCAACATTGTCACCCTCGCGGACGGGTTCCCATTGCATCTCCCCGCTCGGCCCCGCCTCGCTCTCCTCTTGCTCCAAAGGGCCAACCCCCTCCTCTTCAAGCTCCGCATCACTGAAAACGTCCTCTTCCGACCCGCTTGATTCACCCGCCATGAGCTCCTTAGAAACCTTCTTCCGGCCCTTCTTCTTCTCCTTCCGCTTGGCAAAGGTGACATTACGTGGCTGGCGGGGGCGCTGCCTTGCCTGGTCGTCAGCACCCTCCGCTTCCCCCCCTCCCTCCTCCTCCTCCTCCTCCGAACCCACACCCCCGTCCACCTCCTCAGAGTTTGGCTCAGGCTCTGAGTCAGTCTCCGAGCTAGACTTGTCGAAGTCCAGCTTGCTTGCGGGCCTTACCCGCAGCTGCCTGACTGGCCTTCCGCTTGCAGCTGCAGCAGGGGCCTTTCCAGCTGCCCTTGCGTTGCTGCCCCCTGCCTGGTCAGCAACTGGGCTCCTCAGATCTATAGATCCTGCGGGGCCTTCGCTGCCAGATGCACCCCCCCCTTCAAGCAGCCGAGGGGGTGCCCCAAACTGGAGCATTGTCTCCTTCGGAAACATGTAGATCTTGGGGTCTCCCTCAAAGCGGAGACCCCACTTCTCCGGATTCTTGCCCCTGGCAGGCTTGTACTCCACCACAGTTCCTGGCAACTTCTTTGTGTCCCACTCGTCTCCATAGGTGGACTTTGCCCAGTCAGTGCCAAACTGTGTGGCACTGACTGACACCACCAAACCCATGCAAGCTTGTTGCGAGGCCATCAGGGACTGTTGGCAGTAGTTGGATATGAGCAGGGAGATGGGCTGCAAGCGTTTTGAGCAAGATAAAGACGAAAGATGTGAAGCGCTGTGAGCAAATGTCCTGTCAAACTTGGGTCAAACTGGTGTCTCAAGTTTGCTAGCAACTAGAGCGCGTTTTTTTCCGGTTTTGGGTCGGACTTGGACCTGTCGCACTACCTTCGGACATGTCCAGCCTGGCAACACTGGATAGGCATGCGCGAACGCATGACACGTGGCAGAATACACGCCAGGCATTTGCTGTCAAGATTGTGTCCTCAATCGAGGACAAGGTCCTTAATCGAGGACAAATTACGGTGCTAGT